ACTGCTCTCCTAAATAGGTTTTGTGAGTACAAACCAATTAAAAGTCACATGTAAAGATTTTACAGATTCAAGAAATAGACGACATTTTATCCGAATTTAGACTGGTGAAATTTCCCAAAAGGGCATTAGTGCCTTCAGTAAATGTATGAATAGATGGGAGACAGACAGACATAGTAAAGTCTTTTAAATCTTTATGTCTTACTTGAACTAGTAAGTTATCCTTAAAACCAACCATAGATAAGTGCATAGAAAGTATTCCAATGTCTCTTGGAAAACTGGAATGGTTAATAGTAGGAAAATAATTATCAACATAAATGTTAAGAACATATTTTTTTGCTTATCCTTTTCCACATGGTAACAGTCTAGAACGTCCTTTAAAAAAATGTCCTTCAGATGAAATGTCTCTAGTAAAAATGTCCTTTAAAAAATGTCTTCCATATAAAAAATGTCCTTTCAGTAAAATTTCAAAAAGAGTTTAGAATAATGTTGATAAAATTAATTTTATTTATAGTAACGAATCAATTTTTATTTTCAGCATTAAGATTCGTGTGTAAAAGCACACCACAACTTCTATTAGCACAACGCCAAAATTTAATTGTTTTATTTTTATTGAAATTTTTCACCTGATATTGATAACCATTCATAGTTAACATAGGTTTTCGTTTATTTGATGTTGTTTTTGTAATTGTTAGTTTAGGTGAAATTGATAACAATGAAGATGATGATTCAGTTGGTTTTGTCGATGAAGATGATGATGATGTTTTATCAGTTGATATTGAATCCCGCGATTCCATTTAAAAATAATTGTTGTGCTTATTTGTAAATTTGTTATAGGTATAACTGATCGTACTAGAACATTTTTTTCCTTACTTCATTCATTACATTTTAAGATAAACATCTATGGAATTAATATAAATCTCTAATACGATACCCAATGTTACAGTGTGTTCTTCTGTAACATCTACCTCGATCCTATCTATTCTATTTTCTTTGCTATTTTCGTTTCGTTTCGTTTCTTTTATTTCTTTTCTTTGTCCTTGATTAACCTTGGTCTTCTTTTCTACTTTGTCCATGTTTTGCATGTGCGTATATAAACTCTTGTTTTGTAAAAGAATAAACAGAGAGAATAAACCACACACACACGTTAACTGTGTTCGTCGCTCTTCGTGAGCGCGAACGCTAACATCCAGGTCGAGAAGTACGAGCGGATTCTGGCAGGAGAACACAGGAAGTCACCGGAACAGGGTGACAGTATTCCGACCGGAAAATTCTCGGATTTTTTCCGGTGACTTCCGGTCAAATTCCTCCCGTTTCCTCCAGAAAGTTGTCCAGAAGTCACCGGAAAAATCCGAAAATTTTCCGGCCGGAATATTGTCACCCTGTTCCGGCGACTTCCGGTGTTTTCCTACAGAATACTGTGAATTTTCCCGTATCTTTCCTGCAGGATCCTGCGGGATCTGGTGACCGGAATCTTCGACCTGGGTATGTGTGAACTAAACCCCTCCCGTAATAGAAGCCCCTCCCATATTAGAAGCCCTCCCCCTATTAGAAGCCCCCTTTAAAGGATCTATCCAGCAAAATTTTCAATTTTTCCCAGCAAAATTTTCAATTTTTCCCAGCAAAATCCGGCCAAAGTTTGCAAGGCCTAATAGAAGCCCCGGGGGCTTCTAATATGGGAGGGGGTTTACAGCAGAGATGGGCAACTCCGGCTATGTGCAACTCCAACTCCGACCAACTCTACTCCATTTTTCTAAATCCCCACTCCAACTCTAACTCCAACTCAGAATAGTGCCGCTCCAACTCCACTCCAACTCTACTCCGAGTGAACTTAACTCCGCTCCAACTCTACTTATAGATTAATAAATTTAACTCCAACTCCACACCAACTCCACTCCGGATGAACTTAACTCCACTCCAACTCCACCTATAAATTAATAAAATCAACTCCAACTCCACTCCAACTCTAGTGAAAAAAAGTGGCAACTCCAGAGTTAACTCCAACGCCGAGTTGGAGTTGCCCATCTCTCAACTACAGCGACATCTAGATACTGGACTAATTTTATTTTAACATCTTCACAAGAAAGTGAAGGACATTTTTTTTATTGAGGGACATTTTTTCAAGGACAAAAATCTGGAGGACATTTTTTCTGAGGACAAAAATGCGAGGACATTTTTAAAAGGACATTCTAGACTGCATTCTTCCACATGTCACTTGGCGTTTTTCTCTTTTTCCACTACTATTAAAACTCATTGAGAAACAATGACACGTAACTTTCGAAAGCGAATGTGACTAGTGCATCGGTGTTCCTCTGCAGCAGCACAAAATTGGTTTTCAATAATAATTGACGATCCTCTCAATTTTTACGCTAAAAAATATACAGAAAAAAGATAGCAGCTAATATAGAAACCGGTTCTAGGACGGTCTCTTTTCTTCAACAATAAATTTTTCGGAAAAGATTTCAATAAAAGCCAAAACAATAACCATAGTCATTTCTTTCAGATGGAAAAAGTAAAAAGATTGAAAAATAGACATGAGACTACTACTTAAGTGGGTTGATTTGGTTGACTAAATTCCCATGTACGCATCGATGTGCCATTCTTTCTTTCTTCCTTTTCTTTTTGTGAAACACGATCTAAAAGAAGTGTTGAAGTGTATAGGGTAGAAATTTTGCGCCCCGCCGCCCCCCCCCCCCCCCGCCCCCCGCGCGCCGCGCGCGGCAGCCACCGCGGGGCTGGGCG